CTTTTCCGCAAACAGGTGGTCATGGATAATGGCATACTCCAAGTTACGTTATCAAAACCAGATGGAATTGTTACCAAAATACAATACAATGGCATCGACAATTTGCTCGAAGTTCTTGATGAAGAAGTAAATAGAGGGTATATATACTTCACCATGTAACTGCTTATAGTTGTTTTCTTCGTTCATGATCAATGTTGAAACAGTACCAAAATTAGGTATGAACAGTTTTACTTATACTAAAACTTGGAAATTTGAAGGTATTGGGACCTTGTTTGGAGTGAAGCAGGAAGTGTGGGCACAACCGGGACATTTGATGTGTACGTAATACTACTCTACTATTAATGCGTTGATAAAACTAGATATAAATCTAGTTTTGCAGGCCCATTGGACTAAATCCTTAAAGGGGAAATGTGGCAGAAAAAAAAGGTCCATTGGACCTAAATCGATAAGAAAATGAATTGTACTAAATCCAATAGCAGCTAAAGCTTTGGACTTAATCTAAGAGTCTTTAAATTATTGATCTTTACATCTCTTGTATCAAATCGTTTAGTCAACACTACAAGAAAAGTTGCCAATAGCCGCTAACATATTAGTGGTATAAAATGAGGTGGATAAAACTCTATCAACGGCTAAAGGTGAACATTGCCTTTACCCATCTCATTTTGTACAATAATGCTAGTGGCGATATTGTCAACTTTTCTTGTAGTGTTCGTGGCTTCTCTTCTAAGCAATAATTGTGGCTCCTGTACAGGATTAAAGGGACAAAATTCAAGGTTAGAGTGGAAAACGAGGAACAAGTAGAGATCTCCTTCACAAGAAAGTGGAATCCGTCTCAAAAGGGAGAAGTTGTCCCTCTCAATATAGATAAAAGGTTTGATAATTCATGTAGTTCTTAAGAAATGAAAATCTTGAACTAATAATCGAGTGTCAAAGTCTTGATAACATGACATTACATTTTGCAGATTTATAATGCTTCGTAATTCTTCAGGCTTCTACTCATATGCCATCTATGAGCACTTGAAAGAATGGCCTCCTTTCAACCTTCCACAGACTAGGATTGTCTTCAAGCTCAGAAAAGAAAAGTAGCGAAAACTTTCTTCATTGTTTTCTATCTATAATCAAGTTAGCTCTATAATTTGTAGTGGTTGTTATGGACACTTAAAAATAGTAATCCAAATAGTAATCGTTGTTCCTCCGTAGTGCAAAGTATGAACGCAAAATGATTATTTTTGTTAAAAATTGCGATTCCTTGCAAGAGATCATATTTCAGCATCGCAGCACTACGAAATCTTGATTCAAATAATGTAACGTTAACAACTTTTGTATATAAGCTAGTATGTTATTTACTGGTAATACTAATTGACTGTCTTTAATATTTTTGGTGGGTGATTTATCAGGTTTCACTATATGGCCATAGCAGATAACAGGCAAAGATACATGCCCCTCCCTGACGATCGATCATCTGAGAGAAGTCAAGCCCTAGCTTACCCTGAAGCAGTCCTTCTTGTCGATCCTATAGAGCCAGAATTCAAGGGAGAGGTAAATCTATCCTCCTCTATAAAGAGGTCTAGCTACTAGCTAGGGTTAATTACGAAAATATTCTTGAACTTAATTGTATCAGAGTTCAAGACTAGGGTTTATCGTTGGTTTAGTAAGGTTAGGGTTTACCAAATTTGTATACAGAAGTTTTTTCGAAAATAAGTACAATATTTATTAATAATAAAAAAAATACAATTGCAAATTGTAGGTGGATGATAAGTACGAATACTCATGTGAGAACCAAAACCTGCATGTTCATGGTTGGGTATGTATGGACCCACCCGTCGGCTTTTGGCAAATAACGCCCAGTGATGAATTTCGATCCGGTGGACCTCTCAAACAGAATCTCACCTCCCATGTTGGCCCCTATTGCCTTGCGGTAAATGACATAACTTGTTGCATGCAACGGCAAAGCTATGAATTTAAATAAGGGTGAACTAATTCAATTTTCTTAAAATATGAGTGGTGAAATTTAAACATTGAGGGTAGGCTAAATTTTTGTTTTGTGCAATAAAGACCATAGCATGCTTTATCTTAACAGCGAACAATTTCATCTTTTAAAACTTGGGGAGTGCTAGAGGCCAGGGCAGTCACTAGTTGGCTCTGCCCTTGGTTGCATCCATCGACAACAAGCAGTGTTACAAAATACAAGATACACATCTCATGTCGAAAACTTAACAGAATAGAATATTTGAAAAAAAATCTACAGAATTAACTATATTATACTTTATTTCTTCTTAGAAATAAGTTGATTTATATTGTTGAAAATACAAAGCAGATGTTTCTTAGCGCTCATTATTCAGGAGAGGACCTAGTACTGAAGCTGAAACCAGATGAGCCGTGGAAGAAAGTTTTTGGCCCTATATTCATTTATCTTAATTCTGCGTCCGATGTAACTGATCCATCACCACTTTGGGATGATGCAAAAAAACAGGTCGACCTTTTTTCTTTTAATTTAAACAAACTCTAAACGTATTTATATTCATTTATGTTCAAAAAATTCAAAGACTAATAACTAATAAGTAGCTAGAACATTTACTTTGGATATTCAGATGATGACAGAAGTGGAAAGCTGGCCTTACAAGTTTCCTGCTTCCAAGGATTATCCGCCGCCGGATCAACGGGGTAATGTTAAGGGTAGAATACAAATTCTGGATAGGTACTAGTACTTAACCCAAATAAAAACACCTCGTGATGTAATATTACTTAAGCTAACTAATTAGTAGATTATTGGAAGTATATAGATATCATGAGAATTGAATATACAGTCTTTTATTCCCAGTTTTTGTGAAATTCGTCCAAAACTATACTTAAATCTATACATGTCTAGGTATGTTAGTAAAGATCGCATACCTGGAAACGGTGCGTATGTAGGCTTGGCACCACCAGGAGACGCTGGATCATGGCAAAGAGATTGTAAGGTGATTTGTTTTCTCAACTTTATAACCGAGCAAGTACTGTTTTCCAAGAACTCGAAAAACAGGAACTAGTAGGAAAGAGTATTGCAACTCAATTGGTTGACAATGTTTGCATTTTATATATCAGGGCTACCAGTTTTGGACTAGGGCAGATGAGAAAGGATATTACTCTATAGAGAATATACGCGAGGGTGACTATAATCTCTATGCATGGTGTCCTGGTTTTATCGGAGATTATCGATATGACGCAACTATTAGCATAACCGCAGGTCTCTCTCATATTTTTCTCTTCCAGAAGACTTGATGAATTACCGTTAAGATCAATACTTTAATATATGTCTAATATAATAAGCAGGTTGTGATATTGATGTGGATGATATTGTATATGAGCCTCCAAGAGATGGACCAACGTTGTGGGAAATTGGCATCCCTGATCGTTCTGCTGCTGAATTCTATGTTCCTGATCCTAATCCAATGTATATCAATAAACTTTATGTCAACCATCCTGATAGGTTAGTTTTCGAGCTTGGTTAACTGACCACTCCATCTCTATGGAATTTAAATTTAGCCACAGCAATCTACATCTGACTACTACAGTACTATAGTACTATAGTACTATAATAGTCCGTGAACGTATAAGCGATTATACATCACAGATAAATGTTCTCTTGCCAGACATCTTTGGCAAAGATAAGTTGGCTAGTTGCCACCATTCATCAACTTGATTTTGGCTTTTGCCTGAATGTGTGATCTAGATTCACAATTAGCTACCAACATAGACATCAGTCTGGCAAGAGAACCAAGAGAAGATTTTGTTGGAAAAGTTAGCAAGTTAGCAATTTGGTTTATTTTTATGTTAGGGTATTCTTTTGTGGTATTTTATGTATTAGGGCTTTCTAGGTAGTAGGATATAGATTATGTTTGCTTTCCTATTAATCGTGAACCCTTTTGTTTCAAGATCAGATCTTTATAAATACAACTTTTGTGATTTTATAAAGTTTGTGTTCTTGGTTTTAGTCAATAGAATAAGAACAATTTTGCAATGCGTTTTTTTTTCTTTTGTCATCCTTTCATTTGCTAACACATTTTCCTATATGTGTGTGTATGTTCGGTTGAGAGTATTAATCCTACATCGGTGAAAGAAGGGACCCTACACGTACTTATAAATAATTGGTTACTTCCCATATTGCCAGTTGGTTTTATGGTGAAACCTCAACTTTCTTCACATTCCACTACATAAAAGATCTTGAACATTTTCTTACCTACACTTTCAGGTTTAGGCAGTACGGATTATGGGAAAGATATCAAGAGTTATATCCTGATGAAGATTTAATTTACAGCATCGGCACCAGTGACTACACTAAAGATTGGTTCTTCGCCCAGGTTCCTAGGTGGAGTTCTTCCTAACCTATACATTGGCTTTACTTTCTCAATGTGTCATTCTTTGTGAGTAGTTAAATTAACAAATAAATTTCAAAATTAAATCCGTAGCCTTAACTTCGAGCCTTTTGTTTCACAATATATAGGAAGAAAGATGATGAAACATATCAAGGCACTACATGGCAAATCAAGTTTCAACTTAAGCATTTCAGTGAAAGTGTTACCCTCAAACTTCGAATAGCCCTTGCCACTGCAAACATTGCAGAATTACAGGTACATGTTATGTGTAGAATTGCATGTAAGTGTAACCAAAGCTCTAACTAATCTGGTTGCTTTTCTTGTTCTTTTCCTATTGAAGATTCGAATAAATGATTCGAAAGCAGACCCTCCGCTGTTTACGACTGGAGTTATTGGAAAGGACAATTCAATTGCTAGGCATGGAATCCATGGTCTGTACTGGCTGTATAACATAAATATACCAGGCACATTGCTGGTGGAAGGAGCCAATACCCTATTTCTAACGCAAACAATGAGCACCAGGCCTTTGGCTCCTTTCCATGGACTCATGTATGACTATATTCGTTTAGAAGGTCCATCATCTTCTTCTTCCAGTACCACCTAAATTCTATCTGTGCTTCTATAATTAACACAAATTAATGAGGATAATATTAAAATTTAATGTATAATACCTTAAAGTTATCATACTCTCTGGCTATTTCTTATTTCTTATTTGTTGTGTGTTTTATGCACTTGTTGGATCATACGTGAATGCACATTATTTACACATTATAAATAAGTTAAAGTAAGAGTAGTGTTATCCACACACCTATTTTGACTTCTCACTTGGTTTTTGGTATCCTCAGCGGCATCAACTGCATCAACTTGCATTTTGGCTGTCTGAAGCTCAGCTTCTGTTGCTTCCTTCTCATTCCTTGCTGTCAACTTCTTAGCCTGCTCCAATATCAATCAACCGTCAAAAAAATTAATATCGCACAAGAAAAAACACACCTTTACATACATCCGTTCCAGCCGGTGGCACGGCTCAAATCTGCTTTAACCATCGTGGTTACGCTCACGTCTGTAAATACCTAATAAGCCATTAAGGCAAGAAACAAACTAACCTGACCAACGAAGCATGCCTTAACATAACGAAAACCCTCTTGCAATGAAACAGTGAAAGACAAGCAGTCGTTCTTCAGGCGAGACATGATCGAGTACGAGTTTGAGATTAATTTCTTTACTTTGAGCAGTCGGGAGGATTAGCACTCATCCAAAATCCAGAGAGAGAGAGTGAAGAGAGAGAGAGAGAAGTTCAGTAGACGATTTGTTTTGTAGGGTGTGTGCTCAGAGTCTCGAGAGTCGTGGCAGCTAAACAACACATCCACGTCTTAGACTCTTAGCTTCCTCCTTTATTATATGATGGAGTCTAGAAAACCATTTATCTTTAAAAACCCATTAAAGATAAAAACCCATGAATTCTAGGTAAAAACTTGTAGATATCGAAATTTTGGTGAAATAAATGTTGATCAATAATTAAAATTTCAACGTTCACGTGTCAAATAAATTTTACACATACCATGTGACTCAACGAAAAATCGAGAAGCATTAGAAAAGTCATCAAACTTGACACGTGTCAACACTTGGCAGAAATGATTTATTTCATCTGATTATTTAAATCAAAAAAATCAAGTTTTGGAATTCTATAAATAGGAAACTCAGACATTCACTTTGGGGGACCAATTCATAACCAATTCACAACACACCAAAGCCTTGAAGCCTCGAAACTCTAAAGCTCTCAAGCAAATCCCGAAGAATCAAGAAAACCCTCTTCGTTCTTCGTCAAAATCCTCCTTCAAGATCAAGCACCAACGGCCCTTGAAGAAACTTTCACCAATTCAAGATTAAGCCTCAACGACCCTTGAAGAAAGTGTTCATCATTCATCATCCGTTCATCCTGAAGATTAAGCCCCGACGACCCTTTGGATCAACAACATCAAATCTACCCATTACAAAGATAGAATCAGATGCTAAATTTGTAGAAGAGATTGTAACCCTTAAATCATTAATACAAATATTATTTTGTACACGTGTTCTTATCTCATTCATCGCAGGAATTCCCGTGTTTACAAATTTGGCACGCTCGGTGGGACATTTCTCTACCTCTCATCTCTATCTTTGAATCCGCAAAAAGCACAAATGGCATCAAAGAAGGCTCAAGTTGTTCTCGCAACCAATGAAAGGAACAAGAGCGTTATCACCGCAGGTGGTGTCACTTCGGGCGTCACAACTCGAAGCAAGGCAAGAGCTCTTTCTGCCACCACTTCTACCCCTGCATCAACTATGCCGAAGGAACAAGAGCACCTGAGGCACGAACCTGTGATCACTCTGGCCTCGCTAAAGGCGCCAAGGGAGGAAAGCCCAAGAAATTACTCTGGTTCCATGCCTTCCGATGCTGACTCAAGCAGCATCGCAGCCATGCAAGGCATGACCACTGAAGCGACTTCAAACGATGAGCAGCTGGCTCATATGAATGAAGCGATCGCAAGGATAACACGGATTATGGAAGAAAAAGACTCATAAATCGTTGGACTCGTTAATCAATTGGATGCGTAGCAAGACGAGAAACCAGACCTAAAGGGTAATCCACTAAAGAGATGAGCTGACGAAGAAGATGAGCCTCTGGTGGAGAAAGCCGATGTGAAGCCGGAGCTGGACCAATCAGCGTCACTCATGGGATCTCTCTTTATCCAACAGCTGCAGGAGATGATCGCTAGCACCATCAAGGCACAGTACGAAGGAAGTTCACATGACTCTGTACTATACTCAAAACCCTACTCCAAGAAAATTGACGCTTTAAAGATGCCGATAGGTTATCATCCACCAAAGTTCATGTAGTTCGATGGAAAAGGAAACCCGAAGCAACATGTCGCCCATTTCATTAAAACCTGCAACAATGTTAGAACAGAGGGAGACTACCTTGCCAAGCAATTTGTACGCTCACTGAAAAGAAATGCCTTTGAGTGGTACACGGACCTAGAGCCTGAGTCCATCACAGCTGGGAGAAATTGGAAAAGGAATTCCTCAACTGCTTCTACAGCACCCGTCGCACTATGAGCATGCTAGAGCTAACGAGCACGAAGCAATGGAGGGATGAGCCAATCGTGGACTACATCAACCGATGGCGCAATCTAAGCCTCGATTGCAATGACAGGCTCTCAGAGATCTCTTCAATCGAGATGTGCGTCCAAGGCATGCAATGGGGGTTACACTATATCCTTCAAGGCATCAAACCACGGACCTTTGAAGAGTTAGCCACCCGTGCCCATGACATAGAGCTGAGCATTGCTCACCATGAAAAAAAAGAGTCAATCACCAACTTCAAGAAGTACAAGGTGTTTGCCCTAAATGCAGATAAAACTGGGAAGAAGCCCGCTAAGGAAGCTTTTACTGTCAACACCGTGCCCATCAAGACCTCATCCCCGCCTATCAAGATCTCCTCCAAAACCAAAGCAAAGGAGATAAAGAGAGGTGAGCCTCCTCGCACCCAAGACAAGTACAAAAGCACCTTGAGGGAATTGGAGCAGAAGGCATACCCTTTTCCTGACTCAGACATGGATGCAATGTTAGATGACTTGCTGGATAAAAAGGTGATTGAGTTACCAGAATGCAAGCGCCCTGAAGAAATCAATCGCGTGAATGATATCCTAGGTACTGCAAATACCATCGTATCGTAAGTCATCCTGTTGGCAAGTGCTTCGTCCTCAAAGAACTCATGAAGCTAGCGCAAAAAGGGAAAATCGAGCTCGACCTCGAAAACATAGCCGCAACACATACTACTACAATTGCATTTGGATCCTTCGATCCGTGCCTCTCCAAGCGACACCTAACCATTCTTATCAATGCTCAAGTTGCACAATACCTTCTGCACAACCATCACTGGGGGCAAACGAACAAGATGCACATACAGATAATGAAAAAGGATGGACCTTGGTGACCTTAAAAAAAACAAGGAAACCAAAACCACAAGTCACAAGACCAAAGGTGGAACAAAGGAGAAAGCACCATTGCTGCAACAGTAGGAAGTCCAAAAGAAACGTAAAAGCTACTAAGCCAACGTATGCTGGGGAATCTATTGAGCAAGAGCCACGCATTCCTATCTCCTTGCACAAGTACTTCCCGAAGAAATCAATCGCGTGAACGATCCTAGGTACTGCAAATACCATCATATCGTAAGTCATCCTGTTGGCAAGTGCTTCGTCCTTAAAGAACTCATTATGAAGCTAGCGCAAAAAGGGAAAATCGAGCTCGACCTCGAAGACATGGCCACAACACATACTACTACAATTGCATTTGGATCCTTCGATCCTGTGCCTCTCCAAGCGACACCTGACCATTCCTATCAATGCTCAAGTTGCACGATACCTTCTGCACAACCATCGCCGGGGGCAAACGAACAAGATGCACATACCGATGATGAAGAAGGATGGACATTGGTGACCTTAAAAAAAACAAGGAAACCAAAACCACAAGCCACAAGACTAAAGGTGGAACAAAGGAGAAAGCATCATCGCCGCAATAGTAGGAAGTCCAAAAGAAACGTAAAAGCTGTTAAGCCAACATATGCTGGGGAATCTATTGAGCAAGAGCCACGCATTCATATCTCCTTGCACAAGTACTTCTTGAATGACTTCTTCCAACAGTGCACTATCGCTACATGTCACATGGTCAAAGTAGAAATGGAAGAGCCTGTCCTAAACCTGAAAGTGTAAGCAAAGTTATCGCCACTGAGGGAGAAAAACTCTCATGCTCGAAGAAAGTCTACCAACACACTTTAGCATCAAGGAAGCGCTACGATTACCAAAGAAGATGCGAAGAGCATTGGCTTGGCAAGTCCTGACGATCACGTAGTGCAAGAAAGCAAGAACGAAGGCTTGAAGCTTCGACCACATGAATGTGCCACATGTTGTGCCATCGAAGACGCAATCCATTTCACCGACGAAGACTTGCTGCTAGGATCCAAGCCTCACAACCGTCCTCTCTTCGTCTCTAGGTACGTAAGGGAGCACAAAGTCAACTGCATGCTTGTGGATGGTGGATCAGCTATAAACATCATGCCAAAGTCAACAATGACTACAATCGGCATCAAGGCGGATGAACTGTCCCTAAGTCGTCTACTAATCCAAGGTTTTAATCAAGGAGGACAAAGAACAATGGGCATAATCCGAGTGGAGATGACTATTGGTGAACTCAAGTCAAGTACGATATTCCACGTGATTGATACAAGAACTTCTTATGGCTTGCTCTTAGGAAGGCCTTGGATCCATGCGAATGGAGTAGTACCGTCTACCATTCACCAATGCTTAAAATTCTACCGAGAATGAGTGAAGGTGATCTATAACGACACTAAACCATTCACCAAAGCCAAATCACATTTCGCAGACGCCAAGTTCTACATGGATGAAGACATGGTGCCCGAAGCTCTTCCAAAAGAGATCAAATCCACGGGCAAAGCAATACCTAAAAAGCAGGAGTGGCAAGCCATGCCCAAGAAGCAAGAAGAAGAAGCTATGCCATCTTCAAGCAAGAACGATGATGAGCTTTCTAAACCTACAACAACCAAAGGGAGCAGGACGCCCTCAAATGGACCAAACACACCCGTCTTCTGATACATCCCAATGTCGAGAAGAAAAAATGGTCAATCTCCATTCAAAACTAGAGCAAGCAAAGCCGATGCACAGCGGCACAAGAATAATGTAAAGTTGCTCAAGACGAATGCAATTTTGCCTCTAACACAGCTAGGCGACGCTAAGGTTGCAAGATTACCACAAGGCTTCGTAAAAGCTCTACCAAAGGGGGTGGAACCAAGCTTTCTCCCAACCAAGAGGACCGAATAAGGTTTTAATCCAAACGCCTACAAACTCATGTCGAAAGCTGGGTACGACTTCACTTCTTATTCGAATCCTGGAAAGAAGGTTTCAAACACCGTCAACAACAAAGAACGTGACCTCACCGAGACTCAAAAGAAGTTGAAGAAGCATGGTTACAGAGTTAACAACAACAAAGCTGGACTTGGCTTCACACCAAATGCACCCGTGAAGATTTCAAGCAAAGAGAAAAATGCTAACACTCAACACATCAGCGTGAGCATTGAACAAGATCAAGAGGAGCCTAAATCTGCCCCTCGAACGTTAGTCTTCAATAGGATGAATCATTCAAGACCCAGAACATCAACACTTGATCGCATTGGTGGTCAAAACCAAACCTCCGTCTTCAAGAGGCTTAACAGGCCAACATCCCAAAGCTCTGTTTTTTAAAGGTTGTCAAAACCTAAGAAGCAAAGCAACACGGCTAGCTCTCCTCCTCGACATTCAGCTTTGGAAAGACTTGAAGACAACACGGCTAGCTCTGTTTTTTAAAGTTTTCTGGAAATAGGGAAACAACGTCAAAGGAAGAAAAGCTCGAGAGGCTAACAGAAAAAGGCGATATTCGAAGCTCAATTCTTTTAAGGATGAAGTGTCAAGCAATCTTGGAGGTTGACACAAATGGACCACTGAAAGTAAGAAGACGCACCATCATCCACACTGGACAATCTTCATGCCAACAAGCCCAAGAGGACGACACTGAAAGGGAGGTCCAAGACATCTTCCCCATCACGATCCAAAAAGACAAAGGGGATGAAATCCCTAAGGAATACGTCACTTCTGGCTCTTTCGACTCAAAGTCGTCGCCTCAACTGCTGGGGCATGTTCCAAGTCAAGCAAAGTTGAAGGATGGACTCATGTCGCTTCAAAGAAATTACACATGAAGCCTACGTCGCATCCACAAATTCACCAGTC